GAGCCTCTCCCCAGGCCCTCGGGTGGCTGTGGCAACCGGCCGTGGGGATTAAGGGGGGATTTGGGAGGTTTGGGAGCTGCCTGAGCGTAGGCGGGGGGGTGTTGAGGGGACCCGCTCCAGCCCGCGGGCACCGGTAGCCGCCCAGCTTAGAAGGGAGACGCAGGACGGGGTTTACACCCTGCTAAGGGGGAAAAGAGACGGTCCCGCGGGGTCCCTTCCTGGCCATCTCAAAACGAAGAAGGTCACGGCACGAAACGAGCAGGACGGCAGCTAAACGCCGGCACCGGCACGGTCGTTTCCCACCACGTGGGGTGGAAAGGGGGTTGATTCCCAGTGCACGCTGCTATGGCCTGGGAGGGGCTCTGGGAGAGCGGAGGGGCAGGCAATTTTGAGGTCCAAGAGTGCCAAAAGAGCTGGCTGAGAAGGTCTGTCGTTCGGGCGTGGAACCCGAGGGAACCTGTAGAGCTCCCGCTATGGCCCTCGTTGCCCGGTGCGGCCCGTGGGTCCCGAGGGCTGGAGCAGAGCTGCTCCCCACCCCCTTCCCCCGGTGCTGGACGCCGAGTGACCCGGGCGGCTCCCGAGGGACGGTCGGTGGGACGCGGCTCCCAGCCCAGCAGAGGGGCAGCTGGTCCGGGGCTCTTTGTTAGCTGGATCGTTAAGGGAGAGGAAAGTAACGGGTGCCACCCCAGCGGGGCTCGTGGCACCTGCGTCCTGTTGGCTCCGGCAGGGCTGACCCGGGCTAGATTCGAGAGCCCAGCTTTTCCCAGTGAGATGTGCGAGCCCTGGAGCAGGAACCTTTGCGGTGCCGGTGGGGGTGCGGGGACGAGGCTGGGCAGAGGCGTTGCCCAGCTCCCGCGGGCACCACGTGCCGTGACTCAGGCAGTTCGGAATTAGGGCCGCCCCGGGCCAGGCCGGGAACACAATAAAGCGAGGATTACGAGCCCGGTAATCCTGGCTTTGCAGCCTCTGTGCACCCAGGGGGCTTATTCTGGGCTAGGGGGTGGTGTGTGTACATTTGCGCACACACATGTGTGGGCATGTCCATGTGTGTACATGTGCACGTGTGGGTGTACATTCATGAACGCATGCATGTGTGCATGTTTGTGTGTTTATGTTCGTGCATGCACGTGTGTCTGTGTGGGTGTACATGTGGATGTACATGCGTGGGTATGTACACGTGTATACATGCGTGTCTGCTCGTGTGTACATGTGGATGTACGTGTACGTGCGTGTGTGCGTCTGCACGTGGGTGTGCGTGTGCGCATGCATGTCGTTGTGTAGTACATCTATGTGTATGTGTGTACATGTGCATGTACATGCGTGTGTTCTTTTTTTCTCTCTGGGCTTTTGGCTTGCCCCGCGTCTGGCTCCGTGGATCACGTCGGGGCCCGTCCCGGCGCACAGCTGGGCCCGGGCTCCACGCAGAGCTGGAACAGCCTCGGGGGTCCGGGTTAAAATGCCAAGTCTGGGCCCCAGGCGGCTCTGTGCGTGCGTGTGCATGTGCGCGTGTGCGCGTGCACGCCCGTCTGTCCGGGACACGGTCAGGGTCACCGGCATGGCTGGTTCTGCCCCAGCTCAGCTGCCCGAGGCGGTGAAACGGAGGCAGTTGAACCAGGTCATGGATGCGATGGAGGGTACGTGGGGTGGCTCCGGGATGGGGGCGCAGGAACCAGGCATGACCCTATGCCACGACTGGCGGAGGCGTTGTCGGTCGGCCCCCGTTCGCACTGGTTGCAGCCGCAAGACGGGGGGTCTGTCGGACGGGGGCGTTCCTAAGGCCGCGCAGCGCTGTCCATCGCACCCCCGTCAGGCTGGGGTGAAGGAGCCGCCTCGGACGGCACCATGGAGCCGGGCCTGGATGCCATGTGGGGCTGGACGTGCGCCGGAGCGAGTGGCTTGGTCGCCAGCTGAGCTGCGAGCTCGGGGGCTTGGAGGAGGGGTCGGGGTGGGGGGTGGCGCCGCTTTGCATCATGCCTCGCTGGTCACGAGGCTGGAAACGTGTCGCACGCGGGAGGCTGAGGCTGACGCTGCCCCGCGCCGGGACCCGCAGCCTCCGGGGCAGTGGGGGAGGGCAATAGAGGCTCCCCCCACTCGCCACCCTGGAGAAAGGGCTCTAAGGATGGTCCTCGAGCCACCTGGAAATGACCTCCTGATGTGACCCACGTGTTGGAGGCAGCCCGGAGCCTCCCCAGGGCTGGGCTTCTTCCCGGCGCCTCCCGGACCCCAGGGGCATCTGCACAGGCGAGTAGCATCACTGCCGGTTTGTCTGGCCCCAGTGCCAGGGCAGCAGCTGGGACCCCCTGCCCTTGGGTCAGGCTGTGTGTTTTTTTTTTTGGAGGGGCTGAAGTCCCCAAGACACCCAGCCCTGTCCCGAGGCCCCAAAAGTGGCTGGACGTGCTGGGACCTTGCACCCGCTCTGCTCAGAGACGCTGCCCAAACGGGGTGGGGCCGGACCGGACGCTGCGGCCCCTGCCAGGAACTTCATGCCACTCGGTCCCAGGTGCCACCTGATTGCTTCATCTTGGCGGCTGGCTCCTGGAGCGCCTGGACGAGCACGTCCAGCTCCCATCGCCGTCTGCGGGGCCGGGCGGTCGACCGCGTTCCCCTTGCAGCCGCCTGCTCCCAGCGCCAGCCCCCGGCACCGCGACGGCCAGGGCGTTTCGGCGACCTGCAGATAGGTGAGGCAGCGCCCGGCTGGCACGGGCCACTCGGACCCGCGGACGCGTAGCGGGGCTCGGGCCTTCCCCGCTGCGGCAGGAGCAGCCTCCGCCTGGTCGGGGTCCAGCCAAGACGCCTGGGTTCGTTGCCAGCTCGGGGGTGAGATCCAGCATGTTCACTGTGCTCAGCCCGGACTCCTGGGTTTTCTCTGTGCTCTGTAGAGGATGAGGCCGGGCAGGGCGCCAGGACACCGGGTTGCAGTCGTGACTGCCCCTGACTCACGCGGACGCGGGGGCGCGGGCGGGCTTCATTCTCACGAGGTGCTGGCCCTGCGATAGGGCCGGAGCACGTGGCTCCCGGGACGGTCAGGGCAGACGCAGGAGCCCGGGAGGGCCCCGCTGCGCCACGACCCGAGACTCGGAGCCGCGCTGTCTGTGCACGCCGCCACCTCCCAGGAGCAGCACGGCAGCGGCTTCCTCCAGCGCCACGTGGTGCCCGGGGGTGGCTCCCGGCTGCCGCTCAGGGCGCGGGAGCAGAGACGATGCCTTGCGGAGCCACCCGCTCGGCCCCAGGCATCTCCGCGCCGGGAGCCGGCGCCCCACTAGGGCTGGCACGGCTAGCCCCCACCTCCCAGTGCTTGCCCATGGGGGGGTGCCTAGAGACCTCAACCGCCAGGGTGGGTTGTGCTGTGTTGGCCTTGCTGGTCCCCATCTCGGTTGCGTGGGGGGGCCTCAGAGCATGTGTGTGTCCGTACCCATGCTGTCGTGTTCGTCTGGGAGCGGGTGACCATGCCGTGCGGAGTGGGGGGTTCTGGGAAGGGAAGTGTCTGAGCTCATGGGATCGTGCACCCCCTCCCCCATCTCTCACCTGCTGACCCGTGCCCCCAGCCTGGCTCTGGTTCTCATTGCCAGCCTACTTAGTGCTGGCTAGCAGGGCACCTGGCCTTACCGTGCCTCAGTTTCCCCATCTGTCTGCCGGGCTATGGCTGTACGTGTCGTCGTTGCCTCACGCTCGCCCTCTCCCCTTCCCATTGCAGGATGACCTGAGACCTCCGCCGGCCGGCTTCGCCTTCGCTGCAGTATCCCGGCGGGGAGCGAGGACCCCAGCGCGCGGCAGCATCAGGGCGAGCGACGATGGCAGCATGGGGCGAGCGGGCAGGAAGCCTTAACGCCGGCCCCGGTCCCCGCCGGCCTGGCCCCTGCTGAGACCCCCGGACTCAGCACCGCCGCGGGACGATGACCTCCTACCGTCACCGGCACCAC